GGAGAAGTTGAGGGAAATAGTCATTTACCATCAATGGCTACAAGAATGAAGCAAATGTTCTAAAATCGATCAGGGTAATAGATATACAACTCTCTTTAATATACTGAAATATTGACTTGTATGATAGGTGAGTTATAGGTCAATAAAATTGTTTGAAAAGCAGCAAATAGAATCCAATAAGATAGCAAAATGTAATACACTCTGACCCATTGGGATTTATACCAGGTGTAGGAGGGCTAGTTCAGCATTAGAAGAACAACCAAAATAATCAACCACAGAAATGAAACAAAGGAACCAAGAGACATCAGCATATCAATGGATGGAGAAAAGGCTTTTGACAAAATCCAACTTCCATTGCTGATAAAAACACTCAACAAAGTAGAACCAGAAAGGAAATCCCTTAACAGAAAAAGAGCATACATTCAAATCCAACAGCCGGCATTGCTCCCCACAGAAAGAAAATGAGAGCATTCCCCTTGGGAATGGGAACCAGACAAGGGTGCTCTTTAATACCACTTCAGTACTGCGCTGGAAGTGTCAGCCAGAGTATCAGTGAAAGAAGGCATATTCCGGACATCCGATTTGGCAGAGGAAAAATAACACGCTCTCTATTTTCAGGCGATATGGTCCTACAAGGTCACGGAGAGTGACCTCAATGACAGCGAGTCAACACAAAGAAAAATCCCAAGGACCCGGCAAGACATTTATTAGAACCAATCAAAGATTCAACAGAGTGTAGGGCATGCGATCAACATACAAATGCCAGTTGGCTTCCTCTGCATTAACAAAGAGAGCTCTGAAAAGAATTAGAAAATGATACCATTTACCAAAGGTGAAGTATTTAGAAATACTGATAACCAGAGAAACAAAAGCCCGATAAAATATACTGAAATAGCTACTGCATCCCAAGTGCGCAACTATCAACCACATATTTTGCTTGCGTCTTGTCACCCCCAAGCCAAATGATTGTTACAAAGTCTAAAGGGATCCTTTCACATTTCTTCCCACCATGTGAAGATATAAAATCCTGTCTCTTTGCATAAATTCAAGAATATTCTTAAATTCTCCTCATTCTGTCATTCAGTGTTATTTTCTATATGAGGGGGTACCGCCCCCTCCAAAAAAAGAAAAAACAGAATTGCTCTGGGCGGAGCAGAGCTTTTAGTAGTACGCATTTTTCCACTAGGTGAGCATCGAGCAACTTGCTCTGAGTTAGTGCACCCAGTGGCATCGCCTGGCATTTTTGTGATGGCCAATTTAAGAGAACAGTGTGTGGCTGTAGAATTTTGTTTCCTTCTTGGGAAAAATACCACAGACACTGTTGTGATGTGAAACACAGCTTACAAGGACAGTGCTCTGGGGGAAAACTCCAGTGTATGAATGATTTTCTTGTTTCAAAAAATGTGAAATGTTGATTGAGGACAAACCTCATTCTGGATGTCCATCAACTTCCTGAACAGACAAAAATGTCGACTAGTAGTGCATTTGGACTTCATTCCACTGGGTCATATTATTAATCAAGCTTTCTATTTAGAGCAGTGGTTCTCAACCTTCCCAATGCCGTGACCCTTTCATACAGTTCCTCATGTGGTGGTGACCCTCCAATTATTTTCATTGCTACTTCATCACTGTGGTTAAGAATTGGATGACCCCTGTGAAAGGGTCATTCTACCCCCAAAGGGGTCACGACTCACACACAGGTTGAGAACCACTCAACCTGTGGTCCCGAAAAGAAAGCTTCACGGTATGCAACAAAAAAGCCCTGATTTGTGGTAGTCAGGAGACTGGTTTTGCCACCATGACAATGCACCTGCTCATGCAGCCATCTCAGTGTGCCAGTTTTTGGCAAAACACAGCATATGCCTCTCTTGCCCCATGCACCTTACCCAGCTGACCTCGCTCCGTCTGACTTCTTTTTGTTTCTGTGAATGAAGAGGGAGGGGCAGGCAGCAAAGGACAGCGATTTGATGATGTCGAAGTAATGAATGTTTCCAAGAATGGAATCACAGACTTGACAAATACATGAAGTGTAATGGAGAGACCTTTGAAAGTGATAAGGTTGTTTTGTCAAAAATAAAAAAGTAAATATATAACTTTGAACAAATCCGTTTGGGGGGGGACTCCTTCACATACCTTCGAGACCTATTCCTTACCCCATGAAAAATGAAAAGTTTTTTCCCAGTCAGCTTTGTTCCCATTGTCTAATGCTCTTTCTTCTCCTCTCCATCCGTCTAAAGGACATAGACTATGCTGAAGGGTGAGAAAATGCCTGGTGCTGTTCACTAATTCTCACATTCCCTCAACAAACATTCATGTAGGAGTTTGAGAGGCACTGTGGTTTGGATATGAATAAAGAACCGTCGCAGACCTCGGGGGATTTACAGAAGGCTGGGGACAGAGATATAACGTCGGATGCTAATAGTATATAAAACTCAAATCAGAGGCACATACATGTCAACGTTTTTTCTTTTCCCCTCCATTGTATCTTCCCTTGTTGCAACGTAGGTGGAGGTTTCCATTTCAGATAGTAAACTGTGCCTTCCACCGTGAAACTCCTAATGAACCCTCCTCAGCTTGCCCAACCCTGCTCTTTCCTTTCCTTTCTCCCGCCTGTCAGTCACCACCTTCCCCTCACCCAAGTCAACACCCGTAAAACGTCTACCCCATGGCTCTGTCCTCCTGCCCTTGTCCTGCCCCTTGAGCACGCTCCAAAGGCTGTTCCTTTTCTATGAAAGTCTCCACCTTGCCCCCACCCCTTAAAACAGTGATCTCCTATCATATTTGTCCTCTTGTCATTGGCTGAACAAGAGAATGCTCTCCAGATGCATCCATGGCAAGAGGTGCTTTGTGGTTCCGTCACTGTTTTTGAGCGATGCACAGTGTTCCATTGGGATCTGTCCCACAGCTTCTTCTCCTGATGGGCCTTTAGGTGGCTTTCATTGTCGTGCAATCGTGATCAGTGCTGCGACGAACACGGGCGTGCATATGTCTCTCACTTCTTTAGATAGATACCCCACCGAGGGATTGCTGGAGGGCAGGGAATCTTTACTCCCAAGATTGGAGGTAGCCTTGGATCACTTTCCACAGTAAGTGTGCATATTTACAGTCCCCTGGAAGTTAGAGGTATAGACATCTTTCGGGATTCATTTTGGATATGACAGCTGTCAAGAAGGATAGCAGGGATAAGGCAGCATCTAGACTGGAAATATACATGTTTGCTGAGTTGTCATAGGTGTAAGAAATCCTCTAGTCAACGAGGCAGCGTGAGAAAAGGTATGGAATGCTTCTTCCCACCTTCCGGGAACATTCTAGGAGAGACTGTATGACGTCAGTCTCTCTGGGCTTCAGTTACCGCATGTCTAAAGAATGAAGAAAAATTGTGTGCCCCTCAGAGAGTCCGCGTGAAGTATAAACGAGATCACAATTAGAGAGCATTCAGGCCGTAGGCATTCAGTGAATGGTAATCACTAGTATTATCTCCTCTTTCATTAGACATGGATGGGACTTCAATAAACAATTATTATTTTGTTTACAATTCACAAGACACTTCAAAATAATTGCCAAACTCTTTCCACTGTGTATGTCTTGTGTAAGTACCTATCAGACAGAGATTACAGCTTAATTTCATGTCTTCTTTGTATCAAGGAGGATATCTTTTACATTGTGGAAAGGCAATTGACACCATCTAAGCACGTCTGAATAAAGTATTCATGCAATAGGGTTTATTGGGTACACTAACCGATCAAAGGATTCTCACTCGATATTTTATATCTGGAGACCATGCCTATAATAATCTGATCATTTTTAAAAACACATTGTATAAATGTATTTTACTAGTTGAGTGTTGTAAATTGCCTCATAATAATTGGTTCAAATTGAGTAGAGGGAGAATGGGTTGGAAAGAGGGAACGGATTACAAGGATCGATATGTGACATCCTCCCTGGGGGATGGACAGCAGAAAAGTGGGTGAAGGCAGACGTCGGACAGGGCAGGATATGACAAAATAAACAATTTATAAATTATCAAGGGCTCATGAGGGTGGGGAGAGCAGGGAGGGAGGGG